GAGTAATGCCGAGTTTATAGTGCACTGAGATACCATACCGCAATTTTACATGAATACCCCACTCAGACCAGTCCTTGTTGTATCTCCTTTGTGCCGAGCTCCAGGCAGGGTAACAACAAGTGCCATCTTTAAACGTATTTTGGTATGACGCGGCCCGGGATCGAACCCGCGACCTTCCGCTCTCGGGGCAGACGCTCTAGACACTAGGCCATAGGCGGTCTCGTGGATGTACATGTGGAATTCTGATTTGACAGTTAAATAAGAGGAACGATAAAGGTATGTAACCTGGTTTCTCGTCAGTTGACAGAGAAGAAACTATGATGGTACCGACCCACCAGATGCCAAGTTGGGGTGACGTATGACGAGAACATTTGGTTAAACAGGTCAAAAGAAACAGAATGGCGCAAGGTTTCATACACTTCAGCTGCACGTGCCTCTTTCAAACACTATTCATGATGAAAAGTAATGTACAACGGAATAAATGAAACCGAATGGAATTTTCTGGGGTGAATAATCCAACGATAATTATCACAGCGAGTAAATAATCGGGTTAGACAGAGTAGGTACTACATGCTGAAGGTACTAGGGTCACACACTGTAACCAACAGATCCTCATTACAAGCAGAGAGTGTTTGGATATACACACTGTAACCAGCAGATCCTCATTACAAGCAGAGAGTGTTTGGATATACACACTGTAACCAACAGATCCTCATTACAAGCAGAGAGTGTTTGGGTTAACACACTAAAACCAACAGATCCTCATTACAAGCAGAGAGTGTTTGGATTAACACACTGTTGGATTTACACATTGTAACCAGCAGATCCTCATTACAAGCAGAGAGTGTTTTGGTGAACACACTGTAACCAGCAGATCCTCATTACAAGCAGAGAGTGTTTGGTTAACACACTGTAACCAGCAGATCCTCATTACAAGCAGAGAGTGTTTTGGTTAACACACTGTAACCAACAGATCCTCATTACAAGCAGAGAGTGTTTGGGTTAACACACTGTAACCAACAGATCCTCATTACAAGCAGAGAGTGTTTGGGTTAACACACTGTAACCAACAGATCCTCATTACAAGCAGAGATTGTTTGGGTTAACACACTGTAACCAGCAGATCCTTATTACAAGCAGAGAGTGTTTGGGTTAACACACTGTACCCAACAGATCCACATTACAAGCAGAGAGTGTTTGGGTTAACGCACTGTACCCAACAGATCCTCATTACAAGCAGAGAGTGTTTGGGTTAACACACTGTAACCAGCAGATCCTCATTACAAGCAGAGAGTGTTTGGGTTAACACACTGTACCCAACAGATCCTCATTACAAGCAGAGAGTGTTTTGGTGAACACACTGTAACCAGCAGATCCTCATTACAAGCAGAGAGTGTTTGGGTTAACACACTGTAACCAACAGATCCTCATGACAAGCAGAGAGTGTTTGGGTTAACGCACTGTACCCAACAGATCCTCATTACAAGCAGAGAGTGTTTGGGTTAACACACTGTAACCAGCAGATCCTCATTACAAGCAGAGAGTGTTTGGGTTAACACACTGTAACCAGCAGATCCTCATTACAAGCAGAGAGTGTTTGGGTGAACACACTGTAACCAGCAGATCCTCATTACAAGCAGAGAGTGTTTGGGTTAACACACTGTAACCAACAGATCCTCATTTCAAGCAGAGAGTGTTTGGGTTAACACACTGTAACCAACAGATCCTCATTACAAGCAGAGAGTGTTTGGGTTAACACACTGTAACCAACAGATCCTCATTAAAAGCAGAGAGTGTTTGGGTTAACACACTGTTGGATTTACACATTGTAACCAGCAGATCCTCATTACAAGCAGAGAGTGTTTTGGTGAACACACTGTAACCAGCAGATCCTCATTACAAGCAGAGAGTGTTTGGTTAACACACTGTAACCAGCAGATCCTCATTACAAGCAGAGAGTGTTTGGGTTAACACACTGTACCCAACAGATCCTCATTACAAGCAAAGAGTGTTTGGGTTAACACACTGTACCCAACAGATCCTCATTACAAGCAGAGAGTGTTTGGGTTAACACACTGTACCCAACAGATCCACATTACAAGCAGAGAGTGTTTGGGTATACACAATGTAACCAGCAGAACCTCATTACAAGCAGAGAGTGTTTGGGTTAACACACTGTAACCAGCAGATCCTCATTACAAGCAGAGAGTGTTTGGGTTAACACACTGTAACCAACAGATCCTCATTACAAGCAGAGAGTGTTTGGGTTAACACACTGTAACCAACAGATCCACATTACAAGCAGAGAGTGTTTGGATTAACACACTGTACCCAACAGATCCTCATTACAAGCAGAGAGTGTTTGGGTTAACACACTGTACCCAACAGATCCACATTACAAGCAGAGAGTGTTTGGATTAACACACTGTAACCAACAGATCCCCCCCCCCCCCCCCCCCCCACACACACACACACACACACACACACAGTGAAGAGGTCAGTGTAAATGCCAGTGAATGGGGTGTAGAAGCTCCGTCCCTGTCAACGTATCAAGCGACGTGCCACAGTTGAGAAATTCCTCTAAATAATTCTGGGCTTATTCAGTCCAAAACGCACACACTTCTCATTCGGGGTTCACTTACACATCATCCTGAAATTGTGAATAATTGGCCGACTCTGTGACTTGCCATTATAATTATTTTCTATTGCCATAGTCTTTAGAATAATTCCATAAATTTTAAGTAATGTACCTTGTTACGCTTGTCACTGGAGTCCAACTGACAATATGTGCGCTTAAGGACAATTTATACATTTATGTCTTCCTTGTCCATTCCACTGCAAGGAAGATACGATATATCCTTTACTTTAAATTTTCCTGTAAAATATTTAATTATCATTGTTGGCCATGCACATCAATAAATACACAGTAATGAATCGCCCTAGGAGCAGAGCCTGTACCAGCAATCATTGGACACAAATAGGAAGGTTGGAAGGGTCATTCAATTAATCGTCCAAGAGTCTTGTTGCTGGTTTGGTTTCTCTTATGAGAATCTTGAAGCAATCAGTGCTTTAGTAAAGCGCCTCTAAGAACGCAGCATCGTGCCATTTGTATACATAATACTTTATATTACACTCTGAAAACTCCACTGAATAAAATCGGTTCACCATTTCATAGCAATTACAAGAACACTGTTGGTATGTGTATAAAACACCGTTTCCGAACACTTGAGTCAGCAGCCTCAGTGGAACCTAACAGTGCGTGGAGGATTCACATCACTATCCATTAACGGGAAAGGGATGCCCGTCGAAAAACAACCACTTAATTTGATGGTAAAAGTATAATATAATAACACAGTGATTGCTGAAATACAAAGTAACTTGGACCAGAAAGGAAGTGTTGGCGTTACCTGTCTCACTGGAGGAAGTTCACGCATAACCTCGGTATCTGATAATATCATCAATATGTCGCATGACCAATACCATTTCATTAGCAGAAATATAAAAAATATTACTTCCTTTCGTTTTTCACGCATCACCTGGGACACGTTGCTGGGGTGACTCAATTACCTATTTGTATATCCGGTTGCTATGGTAATTATCACACCGAGGTAAGTGACTCAGTTCTTGCGTTACACCACCCACTGGTGAGAACCTAATGGTAGAATGGTCTTAGAATGATGGTCTCTTGTCATACATGGATATCTTCAATTTACCTGGACGCGAGTGATTATCTTTTTTTAGTGAAATTTCTGTTCTTGTTCCGTTTAGTGTTTAACGTCGCACTCGACAACATTCGAGCTTATATATGTAACTAATAGAGTCGGGACAAGATAATCCGATGATTGACATCATGAGCATCCATTTACGCAATTGGGATACGATGACATGCATCAACCATGTCAGTGAGCCTGACCACCCAATCCTGTTAGTCGCCTTTCACGACAAGCATGGGTTGCAAAAGATCTATTCTAACCCGATCTTAACGACGTTTCTCTATAATGAATAATGATATGCCATGCGATACCATATTATGATGGATGGATGTGATTGACTTCACGCCGCCGTGAGCAGTATTTCAGTTAAAATTACATCAGACTGGGGACAGTAACAGACTTTTACCATTGTGGTGAATATCACGAGCACGGGTATGGTGTTAACAGATCATGGATTATAATCGGGCGAAAATGGGATTCAAACTCACGACCAGGGGATCCTTGTTGGCAAACAGACTCAAACCGCAGGAAATAAGATCTAAGAGGTGTTTTAAAAACAATTAAATAATGTTGCAACACGCCAGCTGGCTGAGTATAAGACCTGTTGACCAGATTGACAGTTGTTGTTGTTTATATTGTGCAGAAACATGTTTTTAGATAGTTTACTTTATTTAAGTTAATTTAGACTGATTAAACATGTTTAGAACTAGATATAAAGGTAACTATGCTTTTACAGATATGTCAATTCACGTGCATTTCCCAGGTTGTCGTTATACAAAGCGATCGTCGTGCTCAGGTGATCGTAACTCCCTAACCTTAACATGGACTTACGGCAGTCGTAGCACTGAGGTTGTTTTGTACAACGGCACCCTGGTATATGCTTAAGCCAGACATAAATATACATCCAGATATATATCCTGCCAGAATCAGCAAACAAAATTAAAAGATTAAATCTGTACCTTCACATATACCCATGTGTTATGTACATTGTACATGCTAAACGAGGAAAAGTGTCCACAATATACAATATACATTAAAGATCATCCTGACCACACCCTTTTCATTCTGAATACAAATATTGCAAGAAACATTAGCACGTTTGTTTTGTATCATATCTTTTGAAAATTAATGTACATGAACCAGAATGAATAAAATGCGTGGACTAGCGCGATTAGTGTATCAGTTGATAACTAAAATGAATGCATTATAACTATGACTGAATATGATTCTATGATATTCAGGGTATTCTGCAAGAAAAACGTAAACATTTAAGACAGCACAACCTACCTTACATTGCCATCCAAACGGTATCCGTCTTTAACGTAGCATTCCAAGCTCTCGGTTCGTAACTTAATCCCGTCTCATCCTCCCCATCACATCTTAATTCAGAAATTCGGTGCGACGAGGAATTAGAAACTTTCGAGGCACCAAGGTAACAACAGTCAACATTTAAGTATTCATAAACTATGGGGGCGCGAGTCCGCGAAACTTGTGACGTCAGATTGAAGCAAACCACGTTTCCAAGGTGTTTGCAATCACGTGATTATTGTCCCACGCTATGGAATCTGTCCGAAGTGAATTAAGGATTGATTGAGCAGCACGCGGTAAAATGATATGGGAGTGTCGATTCCTGGAGATCTCTGTGGAAAATGTCTGTGGAATGGGTTTTCAGGTAATGTGCACGGTGAAGCTGGAGAAAGAGGCCACTCTATCAATCCACTGCCGTCAGTGTGCGCTTATTCTGTGATCTGGAAAATAATGTTCACGTTCAGATTAGATTTGGATCATGTTCAACAAAGGACATTACAATATAACCGACAAAACATTAAATAACACAGCAACGAGGTGTTATCGTTATAAAGAATTACAACTTTTATTTTTCTTATTTCGTACAAGTGCAAAGAAATGCATCATAAAGAGGCACTACATGTAGGTTTGGGACAATTTGCAATAACCAAATGAGACTCAGTTCCCTCAGATACAACTGTCTGTGTACACTAACCCATGTTTCTCTGATGTCCAGTCATCTAGATATTAATAGTCGTAAATAAAAGCGATAATCCTTTCCATATTCATAAAAAATCTCTGAATATTCTGAGATGACGAGGAGGGGATGACCTAGCTTCTGTCAGTGATGTACGTGGTATGTTTATCAGTTATGCAAACTAGTTTCCTGCGTTATGAAACAGGAAATATTAACATGACACGCCGTGATGTTACTGACGTACAGTTCAAATTCCTTTCCTTTCCATAATCATAAGAAATATCTTCTAAAGGCAGAGTCCGTTGTACGATTCCAACTTTATCATCAGCATGTGTTTATGAAGCACTATCACATAGTGATGACACCAGGTGTTTTGCAAAAAGCCATACTAAGTACAGTATCTCTTTTACTCACAAAGACTAGGACGTCCACACCTAAACTACTAATCTCTAGAAGAGTCACAACCACCTTTAATTCTTACACAATTACAAATATAACTTTGATAATTATCAAATTATTACCTTTTTAAATAACTGTCTTAATTTACCATTATATAAAGCACGAGATAATTGATATAGCCATATCGTAGGTAGTACTTAAGACTTAAGTCCGACACAAAACGTACAAGTTCATCAGCTTCTCTCTTGTCGGTAACATCGGCTCAGGGCGCGTGTCCTATATCTGTACCATCTTTTACATAAACCATCCGCTGTCATGGTGGAGCCTTTTTCGGATCATCATAATCGATAACTTATTTTCCGCTGTAATTCAGTTTTCAAATTCTGCCCTACGATTACAAACAGGACGTATGCAAGTAGGGCATGAGCGCGTCGTCTTCGTTGAACATCATTTTCTCCCAAGCAGTAGAGACCCTTGAAGATCCGGGGTAGAATAGGTCTTCAGCGACCTGTGCTTGCGATAAAAGGCGACAATGCTTGTCGTAAGAGGCGACTAACGGGATCGGGTGGTCAGGCTCGCTGACTTGCTTGATGCATGTCATCGCATCCCAATTGCGTGGATCGATGCTCATGATGTCAATCGCTGGATTGTCTGGTCAAGAATCGATTATTTACAGATCGCCGTCATATAGCTGAAATATCGCTGAGTGCGGCGTTAAATAACAAACAAACAAACACAAGCAGTTGAAGGTTTCTATGTTGATTCCGTGTGAAACACGTGAACCTTCAAATTCATATATCTGGCACAGTTAACAACCGCAGGACTGAGACTCAGGAGGTATATTTCGGTAAGAATTAAGTGCTAAAAGAAACACATTTGAATTTTTTTTTTTGGTCTGAATTCTCTTGTCGATTAGACCACGTTTCCAGGAAACGAATGATTTTCTACTTAACGTTTTTATCCATTAACCACGATAATTCAAGAGCTTGGTGAACATATTTAAGTTATCTGCCAAGTTTACTACTGAGGTGGTATGTGGGCATGTTTCAACACCCTTTTTTGCGATAGGATTACATACGCAATAAAGATGACTTTATCATATAGTTACGTAATCCATGTGACAGAAAAATCTCTTTTTTTAATGAGGTATCTCTCAAAGTTTCAGCACTAAAGATTCACGTAGATTAAAGGCTATAAGCAAATATGCCAAACGTATATCAACATCATTGCGCCATATAGATCACTTGAATGTCAACATAATAGCTTTAGTGTTGGTTGTTGCTTGATAACAACATGGTGATCATGGAAGCAGGTAGTGAGTGCACGGTCGTGAGAACTAGCCCGATGTTGGGAACTGAAGCAGCAATGCTCATTTATTCTCTAGTTACTCGATGGTCGTGTGTGTCAAGTGTGTTAACAGCGAACTGGTTCACGTGAAGGACATCGGTAGGAGTATTGTGATATTTGTTTTGTATAACGGAGTGCTTCAACGGTTGATAACGCCCTTTCGTTAAAGTATTATGGAGAGCCCTTGGAAGGAGTAGGGTGTATTTACATGCTTGAGCAGAGTATCCTTCGTAACCCTGTGCATGTATGCAGTAGAGAGTGATATTTGTACTCAAACTATTGTTTCTATCTTAAAGAAAGTCTGTCCGAAATTAAATTAGTTTCACATTTTCTTTTATACATAGAATATTTCCATGTGACGTGTTCCGTACCAAAAAAACGATCTTAGCGCTACGGCTGTCGTGAGCCAATGCTCAAGTACGGCAATGACTATCACTTTAGCGCTAAAGGTACCGTTGTACAAAGCAATCTTTGAGCTACAACTGTCGCACGTCTATGTTACGGATGGGAGTTACGATCACCTTAGCGCTAAGGGTACCGTTGTACAAAGCAATCTTTGAGCTACAACTGTCGCACGTCTATGTTACGGATGGGAGTTACGATCACCTTAGCGCTAAGGGTACCGTTGTACAAAGCAACCTTAGCGCTACAACTGTCGCACGTCTATGTTAAGGATGGGAGCTACGATCACTTTAGCGCTAAGGGTACCGTTGTACAAATCAACCTTAGAGCTACAACTGTCGTAAGTGTATGTTAAGGTATGGGAGTTACGATCACCTTAAAGTTAAGATCGCTTTGTACAACGGCACCCTGGTCTTTAACGAAATATATAATCAGAGAATGTTTCTGGAAATCTGGGCCATGCAAGTCCTTTGTGCTATCTGCCTGGGTTTAAGGGGGTAAACGGTCTGAACCGCTTTGGGCTCTCCTCCGATATTGACTGATAAGCTTTGGCGCAAGGAGAGTGTGGTAGTCTGAATGTTGAAGGGTTCCCTTGTCACGGGGGGGACATTTCGATTCCTAACATTTCTATCTTCTTTTCATTGACGTCCATTAATAATTATGGTCCATGGAGTGAGTGAGATCTGTTTAGCGAGGGGTTACTATCCCAGGACTTCATGCACTCAGTAATTATTACAGCTATATGACGACGATCTGTAAACTATCGAGACGAGTCTTGACCAGACAATCCAGTGATTGACAACATGAGCATCAATCCACGCACTTTGGATACGATGACATGCATAAACCAAGTCAGCGAACCTGACCACCCGATCCCGTTAGTCGCCTCTTACGGCAAGCATAGCCGCCTTTTACGGCAAGCATAGGTATTAACTTTATATTATCTATCGGTCGTACGTTCATGGAACACAGTCCAAGGCGCCGCAATTGGCTGTGCAGAGTTGCGTTTCTTGGGCCAGCTAGACACCTCATTTGTTCGCCCCGATTATGTTTCTATGTTTGCCAGCACCATACCCATGCTCGTCGGTTTCACTGAAGTGGTAAACGTCCGAGACCTGCATCACTTCGGGCTTTCCTCCCACACTAAGCTGACACGCCGTGATGTGACCCGTGAAGATTCCGGGGTGGAATAGGTCTTCAGCAACCCATGCTTGCCGTAAAAGGTGACAAAGCTTGTCGTAAAAGGCGACTAACGGGATCGGGTGGTCTGGCTCGCTGACATGCTTGATGCATGTCATCGATCCCAATGGCGTGGATCGATGCTCATGACATTAATCACTGGATTGTCTGGTCCAGACTCGATTATTTACAGACCGCCGTCATATAGCTGGAATATTGCTGAGTGGGGGGTTAAACAACAAACCAACCAACCAACAACTGGAATACTGTTAAAACGGCGTTAAACTTAAGTCACTCACAAACTCGTGCATGTGGTTAAGTACAGTTTTGTAACTCGTTTGCAGTTTCAAATGACTTCGTTCTAAATCCCACACCTCAAATGCAGCCAAAACGACCGTCTCAAGCTAATTTTACTTGTTTTGCAATAAAAGTCTAAAGAACTGACGCTCTTGCTAATCGAGCGTTCCAAAATCCCGCTTTTGTTTAACAAGTCTGTCGCAGAAGAAGTTGCAATACATCAATGTCATGCGAGAAAACCATGGCGATATCGCACCATGCTTAAACTGGGCCATGTTCAAACACAGGGCGCATTACCACAGACGGCCGATGATCTATAAGGAGAGCCTTCTCTTATGAAATAAGGAATATGTGAGTTTGACGATGTGTGTGTTCATTGGCTGATGGGGGTCGGAGCAGGTGGTGGCTGGAATGTTGGATGGAAAGTAAACATGCTGAAATATTGAAACATGTCACTGAAAATATATAGCTACGTTTCACGCAAATAGTTTCAGGGCCATCAATTCAAAACCCGTGACCTTTTTGCCTTGCTTTTATATAGGCCCTCGCCGCGTATATAACACAGTGGCGTCTTTGAATATGAATGACGAGGGCTGCTTTGTATAATATATCATATTGGCATACATCCGACATGAAACGTTTAGAAAAGCTTACATTAATTTACCTCCACTTTCACCTTAACGGGGACACGGGTGGCCCAGTAATCTAAGACGCTAAAATTCGCTGAGCAGAGTTGCGTCCCTTGGGCACGCCAGACACCTATGATTGTGGGTTCGAATCCCTGTTCGCCCCGATTAAGTTTCTAGGTTTGTCAGCAATATTCACTTACATGACGGGAGGTAAGCACAAAATAATGCAGGTCTGCCCCTTTGATAAACGCATATGGATCCTGACACATCTAAGGGTCGCAACTCTGAACAGCAAATGCTGAGAGGCCTGGGATACCATTGCCGTCTCCATCTATTAGTACTGATCACATGTCTCGTCTTCTGTAAGATGAAAATAGGTACAATCGCTCTAGCCCTTGTGAGTTATAACATAATAACAATTCAATATGGAAAGTAAATGGCATGTGTTCTGTAAGATGAAAATAGGTACAATCGCTCTTACCACTGAGTTATAACATAATAACTATTCAATATGGTTTGATGCGATGTATCCTCCATACGGATTCGTTCGTATGTAACCAGGACCATTTGTTTCCACA